ATGGGGTCCGGAGGATTGAACCGGAACTCGGGATCAGTGACTAAAAAATGCTAAGCAGCTGGACTACGCATACAATGAATATTATGGTCTTCACAAAGGGAACCAGGCCTTAATAGGAGGCAAGTAGTGTCCCTTCACAGTGAGAGGGCCAGAGAAGCTACCCGAAAAAGGAGCCATTGAATCTGACTCTCAGTCCGTGAAACAGTTGCTCCACATCAACACTGTACTGACCAAGAGGATAACCTCCCAAACAACGTTCGTCGATCTTTACTTTTACTGCATTCTGATAAGGCCCAATTGCGTCAAGTTTGTCGTCCCGAGGAATGTGCTTATATGGATACCTTCTATTTTAGGCCGCCCAGAGCGTCCGGCAAACTTGAAGCTGGGCAGCTGATATAATCTCTGGATAACAGCCCTATAAACTTTGAAGGTTCTCTCGGGTCGCTTTTCACCATAGTTACTCTAAAATGGACGACACTCAGCCAAAATGTCCCTCCCGCAATGCACGCTCTTCTAGTTCAAATGGCACCATCCTCGTCCTTGCCGTTGGGCTGTAGAAGACGTAGTTTTTGCCCATTCAGTCACAACGCCGCCAATGATGATGATGATGATGGTGATGATGATTATTACAATTATTATAGTGCATCATCTTGCCCTTCTCATTCTATCCCCAGACTTTGCAGCCCGTTGATGAGCATGCAATATCGGTGTCGCAACAACAGCAAAATAGTTTCAAACAAATAATCTGGCAGCTCATCTACGCCCCAAAATTACCTCGGAGTTGGAGCACGTGAGAGCAATCTTCTTTTGGCTTTGCACCAAGGATCTGAACAACATGACATTAAACAATGTAAAGCCTGACTCGCCTGAACAGATCCTCATGGACATTTGCACGAAGAAAACAACATATGCGGACGTTTTCATTACTCTCTGTCGGTAATTTACTATTTGCTTTCTTCGCCAAACCATCTCCAGTAGCAAGTTGTAGGAATGTTGACGGCATGTACTTGAACACATCCAGGAAAGGCGTCCTTTGGGAAAGCAAGGAAAAATTATACGAACAAGGCGAAGATCACGAGTTTAGCAAAATTTATTGACGTCATAAAATTTCGTCACCTCTAACGAAAATTTATGACGTTATCTATGAAGAAATTTTATGACGTTAATAAATTCTGCTCAACTCGTGACCTTCCACTTGTTCAATTTTTCCCGGGAAAACAATGTTTCAATTTTCTGAAAAAAATAATACAGTAAATTTCCGACACCGGATCCCCAGATCATCGTCAGACTTGAGAAAATATGCAGAGAACAATTAACATTTCAACGCGCTCTTACAGTTATATATTCGTTTGGTGTGGGCACTTATTGTTAGCTGCAATTTGTGTCACGACGTGGTGGACATAACTAGCAGTCACAATGACGCAGTGGATATTTGGATAATTTCTCAAGTCTGACGACGACCTGGGGATCAAGAGTCGAAAATTTACCGAATAAATTTTCCTTTCCTTGAAATCACATTTCATGGGATGACTGCCTCCCAGTTTATACGAAACAGTTGAGGATCTGTTATAAGGGCGAGCAAGAGTCAATCGCATGCTTAGCCTAGTCACTAACAAAGGGCGCGGATGCAGCTTTTCGGTTTCAGTTATCTTAAAATAAAACTAAGCTTTGCTTACGTGGGTCGGGAATTGGTGAGTGCGAATGACGTAACTTATATCATAAATTCGAAACCCGACCGGCAGTCGAGACCAAAATAAAAAATGTTAAGTGCTCCATATATGACGTCTGGTTAACTGACTCACGTGATTGCAAGCAGCACTGTCACGGAGTCAACTGTGGATTGCCGAGTATTCGGATATTTGCATGCATATCTGTGTAGCATTTGCGTTAGCCGCTCCGCGCATACCTGCTGGCACCGATGAGAGATTTAGGACGACAGGAAGGGTGCAAGTGCTCAGCGGCTTTTGTCCAAATGTGTCATACACTTTATGAACCTTTACTCCACAAGATTACGGATACCAGTATTCCCGGATTCACTTAATTGGCCTCGTCGGAAACCTATAATGTGAGGGGGAAATTAAAACCTTCTAATTCATCGTGGAGACCCGGTGATCCGCCCGGTGGCTATTGCCCAAAAGGCGAAAGTTAGCCTGCTAGAACAATTTAACGGTGATTGCGATTTGCTACGGCTACCATCGAGATCACGAGCGGAAACTACGGGAGACCTTATCGCAGGATGGCGAATCCCTATAGAGATTCAGACGTATAACGGCGTCCACTTCACCTGATCACTGTTCCGACAATTGTGCCAGAAATGGCGAATCCGCCATGTCAGTCCACCATTATTTCATTCCCAATCGAGCGTGCAAGATCGAGGATGACGAGATATTAGGTCCACTATTCAAAAGCGAGAGGTATAAGGGAGACAAGAATCGCAACGGAATCGCAGCTTAAAGCAAACACAAAACGTGAAAACAGGCACCGCAGCAGGCCAAGCCGGCTGGTGTATACACGTGGACAACCAGACAACCAATACACGTACGCTGATGCATCGAGACGAGCTCGCATTGTAACAGGACGTGCGACCCATACATTCTAGAAGTTTCTGCGTCGAACTTACGCTATGTTAAACGAGTTTTCACCTGGAACGATTGCCAGGTTCTTGCGCAATTCAGCCAAATAGGCAGAAGGAGTCGGTTGGAGATCGGCCGGTTCCAGACACCCCATCTGAGGCTTGAATTCTTTGGGTGGTTCCCAGTGTCATGGCTCAGGCGTCTAATTAACAGTGCCCGTACTCGCATCGTTAAGTGGTAGTGAGAAAGGAAAGCAATTATTCCAAGAGATAGCGTACATACGGTCATATTGTTGATATGAACTGAGGCAAAGGTTTGCATCCCAGGTATGTCTATCGATTGAGAAAAAAGAGCCGTGTCGAGCACCGGAATCATAGTTTTATTAATCTGAGTTTTCGAACTCTTGCGGGAGTCCATCATCAGAGATGGCATCGGCAACGAAAGCGAGCAACATTTTTTAGGGGGAAGGGGGCGATTAACCGTCATAGGGACAGGGGGGGACAGGACCAATTAACCACCAGTTGGTGCCATGAGTCTGGAGATACATGTGCAGGGCAACATATGCGGACGCCATCTCGATGCATCGGATCGATTAAATCCAAGTGAGCAGTCGGGCGTAGTGTATGGCATACCATGTCTAAATTTTCCAATAAATTACACGAGACCGACTGGACGCATGCTGGGTTCGCGAATACACAAACATAAGCTGGCTATTCGAAGGAGTGACGCACCACCGCAAGTTGCGGTCCGCGCCTACGAGACGGGTCACGAATTCAACTTCGCAGCTGCGAGGATAATTGTCCACGCCAGCAGCAAGACGGACTGCGAAATAATTGAAGCCTTGGCGTCGGATGACAACTCAGTAAACCAATGCATTGAGCTGGCGCCCGCATATGTTGCCCTGCGCAGGTATCTCC